AAAGTCACACTTGGCATGATTGCGCTGCAACCAATCCATACTAAGAATGAGGTCAAAAGCTTGACTCGGCACCACCCACAACGACTGCAACTCAAGCTCGAGATCGCCCACACGCACAACCAGGTCCACCTCATCCCGTGCACATGCATGTGTACGGCCGTTGCCATAAAGAATGAAAACTGGTTCTGCCGCACGACGCAAGTGTAGACGACAACGTGTGGCAACAGGTCGAGCAATAGAAGATAAACTCGAACCTGTATCAACCAACACGGAGAGAATAATAGGAGACTTCTTGTTATAAAAACGAGCTTGGAAAGTAAACACTGGATGAACTGGTGCCGAGTGAACCCCTTGATGATACTCCCGAAAGAAAGATGGAGGGGTCACTGATTTATTCGCGCAAGGTCCCTCCGTTACTCACGCGACTCCTCGTTTCCCTGATGCATCTCGATGTCCAGACCTTCCACTGCAGCAACACCTAGGGGACGTTGCTGACGCCAAGGTCTCCACCCAGGAAATGGAGGTCGCCAATCCGGAAAACGACGGCAATGCCGATAAGTATGACCAACTTCATCACACGCCCAGCAGCGAACATCACGGCCACGACCACGTCCTCGCGCTTGTCCTTGGACTCGAGCAGCAGCAACATCAACCTCCATTGGAACAGGACCATCACCCATAGGAAGTGGAGCGGAAGGATGTGCAGCGAGAAGTGGAAGAGGCGACGTCTCATAACGTTGTGCCAAGCAAAGAGCATCGTCAAGGGTGGCAGGAGCAAGTGCATGCACAAGTCCGACAAGATCTTGACGAAGTGCTGGCCACAACATTCCTAGCTTGATCTGCTCCGACATATTTGGCTCCGCACGAAGCAAAAGACTTCGGAAACGAACGCCAAATTGCATCACCGACTCCGATGGCCCTTGGCGAAGACGATGCAATTGTTGGAAAGCATCATCACAATCATCGGCATGTCCGAAGGCGCGTTTGAAGACGTCCGGGAGAACACTCCAATCCCCACGAGTAACTGCGCTCAAACCATTGTACCACTGCAATGCCGTCCCTTGGAGACACGTGGGAAACTCACGCAACCGTCGAGCATCATCCCAAGAATGATATGTGGCAATCATTGTAAAGTGATCGAACCAATGGTACACATCATCCCCAGAATTCCCGCGAAAGAACTCCGACCGAACTCGAGGATTGGCACCAAGAGTAGGAGGAGTTGTACCACGTGCCGTGAACGCCGCCATCAACTGAGTTTGGTTGTTCAATTGCAAGCGCATAGCATCAAGCAATTGAACCAACTGCTGCTCTAGAGTCAAAGGAGGAGATTGCGGATCGGCCATGAAGATGAACGAAAAAGAAAGAGCAAAAGAAGAGAAATGACAAAAAAGCTGGAAAGAAATGGTAGATCTAGACAATGCAAAAAGCTAGATCGAAACCAAAATCCTGAAAGGAAAGAACAAAAGAAAGGAAATGGAAAAAGCTAGATCTAGACGATGCAAAAGCTAGATCTAGACCGAAATCCCAAATCCAAGCACTCCCCAGGGACAATCAAAGGTGCCCCTCACCTCCACCAATGTGAGTGCATGGAATATGAAAAGGGAATACAGAAATGTGTATATCAATTAGCCCAAAAACCCTAGTTTATATATAGGAGCGAGTGGTCCGGATTGAAACCAATCCGACGGCTACCAAAATCCACTACGCTAATATTAGTATACGGCATCGTAACCGTACACTTGGCCCTCACAGCATTATATTCATTAAATTTTATAAATCATTATATAAAATTTTAAATTAAAACTTCTTGGGAAGTCACCCATCCTAATATTACTCAAACCTTTACTCAAAGATACTTAGCTACACATATTTAAAAACTTTTAATTGATTGAAAAAGGAGGTGTAATTTTATTTATAAACATTTTCTCTTTATATTTGACCTAATGAATTATCTTTTAAGTCATACTATTTAATTGCTTACAATTCTCTAAAATTCATACCTTCATAAACTGAAGCTAAAATGTATCCCTTGTTTAGCCCAATGAGAACAAACCAAATCCTTAAATATCAATATTAACATTTGGTGTGATTCTTTTATCTAATCAATAGAGTCAAACTTGAAACCTCTTTAATACCAAATATGCTCTTAAATTTAAACTTTAATAAAGTTAAACTTGAAATCTTTTTGATACCCTTAGCAACAGAGTTTGGAGTTAAGACCTCTCTAATACTAAATATAAACTTTTAAATTTGGACTTCAACAAAGTCGAATTTAAGACTATTTTAATGCCAAACATAAGCTCATGAATTTGTACTTTAATAAAGTTAGACCTAAAATTTTTTTATTACAAATGTAAGCTATTGAATTTGGACTTTAATAGAGTTAGAAGTAAAACCTCTTTACTATTATGTGTAAACTTCTAAATTCAAATTTTTTGGAAGGTCATTCATCCCAATACTATCAAGACTCAAGAATACTTAACTCCATATTTTTTTAAAATATTTAACCGATTGTCAAATAGACTATACTTTTATTATGGGTCTATATTTGAACCTTAATTAATTGTTTTTCAAATTATTCACTTTAGTCACTTACAATCAATTGTAATACAGTTATCTTACAACAACTATGTTTAAAGACACAAATCCTTAAATCCCAAAACAGAGTTAAAGTTGTGTCTGTCAAAAGTGAAAGTTTAACAAGCATAACACATTTGAACTAAAAACTCTAAGTCAAAAAGTTGAGAATAACTTTAAAAAGCACTTGAGGAATAAGTATGAAGCAATTGAAATCAGCATAAAGTAGTTGATAAGTGGTTTTTAGAAAATGATAAAATGAATGACTAACATGTGGCAAGTATTATCAAATATGAGGGACAAACCTTGAGGGATTTAGTAAGTCTATGTGGAATAGTGAAAGGAGGGATTTCAAGGAAACCAATGCAAATAAGGCATACTTATGTGGTGGGTAATAATATGAATATTAAGGAGTTCAAGGCTAACATGAATATGAATAGACAAATGAAGTGACTTGATAAAGTGTTCAAAAGATAATTCTAACTCCTTTGGGAAATTAAATTGTTAATACTCCCAATCCAAGTATGGGTGGCATTACTTATTTGAATATCTAATATGGCTTATTGAAACTTTGTTCTAGCCAAATAACTAGGGCATTTTGGTGGTTGAAGGTGGGGAGAATACCTTTAAAGCTTATACTAAGTTGCAATATTCAAAATCTTATTCGAAAATCCTTGATTATGGACAAAAAGAAAAGTGGTTCTTTTGATTAGTAATCAAGGATGTGGCTGCATAATGAAGAAGTCTTAAAAGTTAGTGGGATTTAGTGGATAGACTTTTAGATTTTAACCCAATAGCAATGTTAGTGATCACTATCGTGATTGAAGAAGGATTTAGTAGGGATTTTAATGTTACTCTAATTGATGTTATAATTATAGTAGATAAGAATAATGTTATAATCACCTCCCTCCCACAAAAGCTAGATAACAATATATTAGGAGATTGACATTAGAGTAAGATATACAAGAAGGATAAAAATGTGATGAAGAACACTGGTATAAAATATAGGATTATGATGTAATTATACCAAAGACTTGTACAAGTTATGTTTTTACAATATAATTTTAATGCATGAAATAGTTTATTATTTAGCTTTCTATACTCTAATAAGTCTTCATTAAAGACAAATCTTGAAAGCTTTGATCATTAAACTTTACTTTACTTTACATGATTCTGTCTACCTTGCTCCAGTTAATGTGCAACACCTCATAGTGACTTTCTGAATAAAAAAGAGCATAGGATGTATTTTAGAAAGCGTACAAATGGAAGTTATATTTGCAGTAGCATTGCCATCTTACACTTGTCCTCACATATATACATATTATTATTATCTATAGGAAGAAGCTTTACTATTCTTAAAACTCAGAATTAAATAATTATTTTAAGTCTTTATTTAAATATAATATGTTAAATATACATATAATATATAATAGAGAGAGAAAGAGATTAGGTGAATTCCTTTATATTTTTCATATTGTAGGGGCTAAAAGTGATAAAACATAATGATTGCATGGTTTGTATTACCTACTTTGATATTTTTAACATTTGCATGCACTTTTTCTGAAGATATTGAATATGAAACAGGCAAACTTAATGCTATAACTAGAGAAGTAGCAAAACATATTTACTATTTCAAAATAAATTAGTAGAATACTAGACAATATAATTCCTTTAGGTCAAAGTTTCTATGGAGATATTTCTGATATTATATAATTTGGTATTTATGCTTTAGATACAGTTTTTCAAATTTGTTATGTCGATAATGATGGTAATTCAAATGGAGGATCTATTATGAGAAGTTCATTATATGAAATTTTAAGAAATTTTACTTGTCAAATATTAATTTCAACTGCTTCATATATTATTATTAAAAAAATTCATTTTATTATTTACTATTTTTTAGAAACTATAATTTTCAAAATGTTAATTAAAATATAGATATAAACACATATATAATATAAATATTAAATGTGACATTTTTACATATACCTTAATAAGTGGTTACACTAATATGCCCCATCAATATTTATTACAATCACAATTTTTAATCTCCTTAAATAAAAAGGCACATTGATATTTATTTTAATTTAATAATTTATTCACTAAATAAAATTTTATGGTCAACAAAATCATCAAATAAATGCTTCAAATGCAGTTTAAGACTACAAGAAGATGGAAATTTAGTTTTATATTTTTATGATAAATTGTTATTTAGCATTCAAATACATATTGTAAATATTAAAATTATCATGAAAATGCAAATTTAGTAAAGGAAAATAATTGTAACTTAGTTTTGTATTTTATATATCAAACAACATTAAACACTAAATCGTTAACTAAATCTATATAAGATTCAAAAATGTTTTGTTAGAAAATAAAATTTCTGGATCTTTTTTTTCAAGGCAGTTTTTGTATTTTGCAATTCATCATGTGCTTATTATTCATTATAATTCATGTTTGATACTATTCTTAAAAGTTAAAATTGAAACATTGTAATCATGATTTCTTATAACCACGGTCCTCACCTAATAGATTGCTTGCTTCCCGGGATTTTCAGTTGCCTTACGTCCTTTGCTTCTCATATATTTTGCGACCTATTCTTCCAACAACACCCCTTCCTGAGGAGCATTCCTTCCACGCAACTCTTATCCACAAGCCAAGCAATCCTCCTCCGCTGCTATAAAATAAAACTGAGCATCAAGTTCTTACCAAAAGATGGTCCCTTTGATGCTCGCCTGCTTCCTCTTTCACTCGCTCCACTTCGTCCTCGTCCTTGCCAAGAACAAGTAATCGATCCTCTGACCACTGTCTCTATAGATCAATCATCCTCCATGGCTCCAGCGTTCTTTCGTCTAGCATTTCTCCTAGTCAGCCTCCTGTCCAGCTTCGTCTCGCCCTCCCCGGTCTTGAGAATGGACCTCACAATGCGCAACGTCTCGTGCAACGATCTCGCGAGCTCAGGTTTGGGGGATCCGCTTCTCCACAAGCTGTCGTGCATGGCGAAGAAGACCACCTTTCGGGCAAACCGGATGGTCCAGGCGCTGAGGAGCAAGCTCGCCGCCTCGTCTCTCATCACCAGCGAGGTTCCATACCCGCCGTCCGTGAGCACCGACTACGAGAGCCCCGTCGCCTCCGGCGGTGGTGACTACGTCACGACGATCTCCCTGGGAACTCCAGCCAAGGTGTTCTCCGTGATCGCGGACACCGGCAGCGATCTGATATGGATCCAGTGCAAGCCGTGCCAGGCGTGCTTCAACCAGAAGGATCCAATCTTCGATCCGGAAGGCTCGTCATCCTACACCACCATGTCCTGCGGCGACACCCTCTGCGATTCCTTGCCGAGGAAGTCGTGCTCCCCGGACTGCGACTACTCCTACGGCTATGGCGATGGCTCTGGAACCCGAGGAACGCTGTCGTCCGAGACCGTCACCTTGACGAGCACCCAGGGAGAGAAGCTGGCTGCCAAGAACATCGCCTTCGGCTGCGGCCATCTCAATCGCGGGAGCTTCAATGACGCCTCTGGCCTCGTGGGTCTCGGCCGGGGCAATCTCTCGTTCGTCTCCCAGCTGGGCGATCTCTTCGGCCACAAATTCTCCTACTGCTTGGTTCCATGGCGAGACGCCCCCAGCAAAACCAGCCCAATGTTCTTCGGCGATGAAAGCTCCTCCCACTCCTCCGGGAAGAAACTCCACTACGCTTTCACCCCTATGATCCACAACCCGGCCATGGAGAGCTTCTACTACGTCAAGCTCAAGGACATCAGCATCGCTGGGCGGGCGCTGCGAATCCCAGCGGGATCCTTCGACATCAAACCCGATGGAAGCGGCGGGATGATCTTCGATTCCGGGACGACCCTGACGCTCCTGCCAGATGCGCCTTACCAGATCGTGCTCCGGGCGCTGCGATCCAAGATTTCCTTCCCTAAGATCGATGGATCCTCCGCGGGGCTTGACCTGTGCTACGATGTCTCGGGATCCAAGGCGAGCTACAAGATGAAGATCCCGGCGATGGTGTTCCACTTCGAGGGCGCGGATTACCAGCTGCCGGTGGAGAACTACTTCATCGCCGCCAACGATGCCGGGACGATCGTGTGCCTGGCGATGGTGAGCTCCAACATGGACATCGGGATCTATGGAAATATGATGCAGCAGAACTTCCGCGTGATGTACGACATCGGGAGCAGCAAGATTGGATGGGCGCCATCGCAATGCGATTCCTCGCAGTGATTAATTCTTCCTGCCCAAGAACCCTAAATTCCTCTCTTGTGAATGGATTTTTTAAAATTAAGCGTTGGATACCCGTTAAAAGTCTTAGAATTCAACGGTTGCGATCACTCCACGGGCGATTTTCGTGAAAAGATAAGCCATCAACTCAAAGGAGCTAGGGTTCTAGGCAAGCGTGGAGGAAGAGAATTCTCGGCGCGCTCGATCGATCTCTGTCGAGCCGCATTCTCTCCCACAAGCAATTTCATCTCTGGATTTATGAATGACGCTGATTCTGGCCCTCTAATGTCGTCATACGGCCAGCGATTGGAAGCATCCGAGTCGACGCAATCGCTGCTCAGCCGGCGAGGATCAGGTATTTGGCCCAAATCCCAGTAAAGATCCCATCCAGGAGCTCCGGGAGCGCTGTAATCTCACCTCTTTTTTTGTTTTTTTTTTCCAGAATTTGGCAACAGATACGTCCAGATCGACGACGCGGGCATCTATCTCTCCTCGCTCGCCGTCACAATCCTCCTCTCCTCGGTGGCCACCATCGGCATCCTCCTCTTCACGCTCGTTGTCACGCTCTCGGTGATGCTGGGGTCGTGCCAGAGCCAGCCGATGCTACTTCACGGATCATGGGGCGAGATGATCCGGGCTCCTCCTCCTCGTCAGGAAGAAGCCCGTGGGAATCCCTGCGAGAGCTTCCGGCTCAACGCGGAGATGAATAACCTCCAGGGCTGGCTCCTCCCCAGGGAGTGCTCCAGCTACGTCGGGAATTACATGATCAATGGGCAGTACCTCTTGGATGTCGAAGCGGCCGTGGGCGCTGCCAGGAGCTACTTGGAGACCATCGCTCCTGGTGGCGATGGGTTGGACGCCATTGTCCTGGACATCGATGACACTGTGCTCTCCAACGTTCCATACTACACCGAGCATCAATTCGGGTAAAAAAACCATTCTTCGTTCGATCCTTTCTCTTGATCCAAAGCTTCTTCATGGCAGTGTAGAGCAATATAACGTGACCGCGTGGAACGAATGGGTGGACCAGGCCAGAGCCCCGCCTCTGAGATCGATGCTTTCTCTGTATCGCCAGATGGTGGACGCGAACTGGTCCATGATCTTCATTACCGGGAGGCCCGAGCAGCAACGAAACAAGACCGCGGAGAATCTCTTCAAAGCCGGCTTCTCCGACTGGATGTCTTTGAATCTAAGGTAAGCTTTCTCGTTTCGCGCTTGGCTCTCACGATCTGTTTGGTATTTTGGTTTGCTTCTCTTTACGTCTAGATTCCAGAACGAAGTTGGAACCACAGCAGTAAATTATAAGTCGAGTAGAAGGATGCAACTCGAGAGAAAGGGATACCGTATACGTGCCAGTATTGGCGACCAGTGGAGCGACTTGATTGGTCCCGCCGCTGGAAACAGAACCTTCAAGCTGCCGAATCCCATGTATTACATTTTTTAAAGCCGCTGGATCGATTGGATTGGCTCTGTAAAAAATCGCTATTCTCTGTGAAACAATTGGTCAGTATTGAAAAAAGTTTTAGTTTTTTCTACCTTTTTTTTTCTGGTGTAAGTCGTAGCTTTGCCCGTCGCTGTGAAAGCATGTGTGCGTAGAGGAACAACGCAAAGCCGGGATATATGACTAGCAAAGCCTGTGATAAAAGCGAAGAACACAAAGAAACAAAGATAAAATAACTGAAAACTGGAATTGCTGGCTCTTGCCTTTATAAAGCCGTGATAGCCGAATGGAGCCCATCTGAAGAAACTTGAGTACATCTTTTCCTTGCGGATGAAGGGCAAGGCAGAATACATCAAATGCACTGCAAACAAAATCAAGAATAAAACAAACAAAAAAGTGGGATAGGCTGGTTTCCGAACTTACTTTCAGAGAAGAACCCAATTGGATAGAGCACAATGAAACCAGAATATCTGTAAGAAAAAAAGTTTCTACAGAGTTTCGCCAGTTAGAGTGAAGCTTTTCTTGCCTCGTCCAAGTTAGCCATGGTGGACACGTTCCAAGAATGCTAGCCACGTATTGTGGATATCGTATCACCTGAAAGAGACTTTTGGAGGACCAGTGAAGAGAGAAAGTGCGAACCTCCGAAAGCGACCAAGCTCCAAGCAATGTGACGAGGCAGGGGCTGTTTTGGATCTGACACGAAAGGAAAGAGATTAAAGCGTTCGTTTCTCTACGATCAAACAGAATTCATGTACTTCTTCGATTGGAGCCACGACTGCAGCGATGACGTGAAATCTCCCACCCCATTGCAGCAACGCTGTGAGAGGTCCACTCCGAACAAGGCCTGTAAAAGTTAGAAGAAGATTTTCGAGTATTTAACGGGGAAGAAACAAATTTCTCACCGAGCAAAGAATGTATCACTTCTAACAGCGCAAAGAACTGGAGGTAATCTTCACAGCCAGAAACGTAGGGATTGAGAAATGGAATCGAGAGCCGAAATTTCGACAGAAAGTTTTACATGCGAGGCGAATTTCTCCCGTTTTCACCTCTCCTGGCGCCAAGAGCAGCCGCGCGAGTAGCAAAGCCCTAGAATCCCATGAAATTTAGCAAGGAAAACACAGCGCTGTGCTCACCAGCCTCCCGCCTGCGCTACATTGTACACGACCAGGTAGCCTCTCGCCATGGCCAAGAACCCTAAAATAACGTCTATAAGATATTTGTTTTGTTTTCCCTAATTAGACTCTTAGAATATTCGAAGTACGAGGTTTAAGTGTTTCTTTAACCCTACGCCACCCTCAAAGAGAATATACTGTTGGGGTTGCTCGTCATGAGTTTGGATGTGTTCTCTTGCGATTTCATGGTGGATGATCTCGGGATGAATGATCTCGCGCTGGACGATCTCAACGAAGATCAAGGCAAGTTTACTAGGCTGCATGTCGATGATGGTGATCCATGGGCGGGTTTGAGCTGCCCTCCCTGGGATCCCCAGGCGCTCGAGGAGCCCAAGCCAGTAATCTCCAAGAGAGCTACCAGGCGGCCTCTTAGATTCGCCTGTATGGATCTGGGACAGGACGACGAAGAGGAAGAAAAGCCCACGAAGCCCAAGCCCAAGAGAAAATCCAGGCCCACCTCCAAAAGTGTTGCCGCGCCGAGGAAGACCAAAGCCGAGAAGCCCAAGAGGATTTCCAGGCCCGCCTCCAAAAGAGTTGACGAGCCCAAAGCCGAGGCGAGGAAGAACGCCACCTCCAAGATCACTCCCGAGGAACGGGAGGAGCTCAGGAGAATCCGAGAGACTCTGCCGGATCACGCTTTGTGCCCGAGGTGTGACGAGTTTTGGCGCACGAGGTTCTACGACTTCAATAACTATCGCAAGGACCAGATAAGGTATAAGTGCGTGCCCTGCAACAAGAAGTGGACGCTCGGTAAGCCGCCACGAACGAGAACCAAGCGTGCTAAAGTTGCAATCTAAGAGGGAGAGAGAAAGATTTATTCAGGGTTTGCTTAGCTACCTGGATTCTGGGAAGTTTTACGACGGATGCTTCAACCGGTTGTGACGCTGTAACGTCGGCTACCGGGACAGTTCTTGAATGAGATCTAGGACGCTCGTCATCGCTCCGTCGTTCTGCGGGGCGCCAAAAGAGTTAGCAGAAGAACACGAAGTTTTGCGTAGACTTAGAGAGAGTGTTCTTACCAGAACAACGATATCAAACGCGGTTGTGTAGGTGCTTAGCCAACTGTTTATGTTCTCGTTGCTGCAAAAGAACGAAAACGTTTTCGTCCTTCACCGTGAGATAGATGAAATACTTACAGGAATCCTATGGTAATACGGTTGTCATAGTCAACTCCATCCGACATTCCGAGGTCTCCAATGTGATCGCCCAGAAGTATCACGTTCCTGCGGTCTCGCACAAGAGAGTACCCGTTCTTGGCATTGTTGACGACTTCGTGGCCATGATCGTCATGTAGTGGAGCAGCCATCTCTAGGGAATGCTCGTTCTTGTTCAGAACGTGTATCAGCTTCCCTGTTGATCGCAAAGCACTTCAGTACGAATGTAGATAGCTAGCTCGCTACCTTTGAAACCCAGGAGATTGCCATCACCATCAAAGTCCATGCGATTTGATACGACACGGATGTTTTTGAAAGAACGATGAAGCTTTTGGCGCATAACCTCTTCGATGATATCAGCTAAACCAGCAGAAAATATCAAAACGGGGACGCTCTTGGCCTAAGGTATCTAACGTAAGAGGCAGCAAAACTATACAAAGACTTTACCTCTAAAATCTCAAGAAGTTCGACAACGCCGCTCCGGAAACCAATAACAGCATTAGCCACCGAGGTTTGAATAGCTTTGAAGGTAAGACCGCCTTCTACAAGAAGGTTATGCGTCTTTCCCCACCTGAGACGGGAATATCTATCAGATAAACAATACTACTGCGTCCCAAGTACTTACCACTCTTCCATAAGTTTGGTCTTCTGTTCAACAGGAATTGTTGGACATGTCTCGAGAGGATAATAGTGATCGAATAGCTGCTGACGCTTTAAATCATATTCAGCGTTTCCTTGGTTCAAGAGCGCGTGAGTACCTGTTTTTATTTTGTAAATAAAAAACTGAGCAAAAGGGGTTGAAAGTAAGGGGAAAAAAAAAAAACTTACTTTGGCCTCTTGTACCATTGACCATGTATTTTGTCAAGGTCATGTCGAAGTCTGCAATGACCTGGTAGACAAGGAAATAATTTATAGAATAATAATGTTCTACAAGTCATACCTGCAAGGAAGACAATCCAGCAGCTTTAATAGCACGCTTTTTCCTCTCCAGCTCTTCGGGGTTCCCAATGACAATCTGTGGGACTCGCGAAGCAACAGTAGCTCCCAGCTTTGTTTCGCTACTATCCATTTGAGAAGCGGCAGTGGCAGTAGACCTGTACCAAACAACGATGAAAAGAACAAAACTTTAATCTTCCCATAACAGAAAGAAATCATCGCACCTCGATCCAGGAGCTACAACTTGTTCTTGCAAGCTCCTCTTGCCGGAACTAATCGTCATGGACGACAACGCCTTGCACAGTGCTGCGCGGGTGTGAGTCATGAGTGGAGCCCAGGAATTTTTCGCGCACAGCTGAGAGGGAGTGAGATGATGAGAAATAGGCGAGCGGTTCTGAACCCATGCCGGGTTCATTCAAGCCGCCGCCGGCGCTCGTCTTGTCAGGCCGCCGCGCAACTGATTCCCATGCTCTCTCGGGATCAGCAGCGACAGAGAAGGAATGCAAATCAAACCTGGAATGCGTCGCGGCCGCGATCGATCGCCCTCGCCCGAAGAAACCCTAGAACTCGGGGGCTGGGGAAAACCCTTAACGGACACAATGCACGGTTGGCTGCATTTTTTGTTTCATCACTTTGGGAAGAATTGCCCTAAAAATAAGTGGACAGTGGGCTCGAATCTCTTACAGCATATCCAATGATTTAATGTTAACTTTATGCTAAACGTTTTAGTTTGTTTATAAGTTAAGCTTAAACTGTCCCTCGAAGATCTAGCTCGGACTTGACAGCCTCTCGGAGCGTCCTGAGCAGCCCTTGGTGCTTGCGTTGGATCCACGCCGCGATCTCTTCCACCAAAAACTCCCCATCGTCCCAGGCCTCGGCAAGCTTTCTCCTGCTATCCACCACCGTTTTCCATCCTTCCTCCAGCTTGTAAACCAGCTCCGCCACCCTCTTGTGCGCCATCGCCTCCGGCTTGAGCAGCATCGCCGGATCGGCAGCGAGATATGGTCGCAGAGGAGCCAAGCTCGCCAGCACTCGGCCCTCCAGCAACGCCGACGCAAACACCGCCACCGTCTTCCTCCCCGCCGGGAGTTCCATGGCGTGCAATGGTAGCTGCCAGTTGTGGGGGCCGAAAGTCACGGACACCCAGCACTTGACTTGGTCGGCTTCTCGGTCATACCACGGCGGAGGATCGTCGAGCGGCTTGGAGAAGGAGCAGAAGAAGCTTGCCTCGGTCACCAGAGCGTGTGCGTCGATGGACGAGACGCACGCCATGTAAGGCCTGGAAGTCTCCACGATCTCCTTGTAGACGACGAAGTCCGACGCGAAGCTAAACGTTGAGGAGGACGGGCCGAGGTAGACGATGCTGCGTCCCTCTCCCTCTTCGTCTCCTCCATCCTCTTGTCCGTGGAGCGACGAGGCCTGGTAACGAATTCCTCTCTTGCGTGACTTGGCCGTGTCGAGCCTGTCGCGACGAGTTACTCTTCTCGCAACTCTGTCCGGCCACCCCGCGCAGAGTGCACAGATGAGCGCCTTCTCTTCGTTGGCGCTGAGTTTCTTCCGGCTTAGCTGCTTCCAGCCTTCTTCCAGGCCGGAGCCAATCAAAAGATCCTCGAGTAGCTGTTGACGAACTAGTCTCGAAAGCTGGCCCCTCAGCTTGGACATCTCCTTCATGATCTTCTGATTGAGATGGCTGGCCGTGCAAAACTCGGCCTGGTTGCTTGATTCTTCGTAGGCCCGGAGCGCGTTCATGATCGTCAATGCGTCGCTCGAGGTGTTTTTAAATCGGTGACGCTCGGGTTTCTTTGTTGCTTTCATGGCTTCTCCGCTCGGCGTTGTAGCAGCAACATCTTTCTCGTCTTTGAATGACTCTTCGAGACTGAAAAACGGATTCTCCACGCTTAGCGCAGCTGCGATTGCCACTGCACAAGCGGCTATCACCGACTTTCTGGACTTGCCACCCATAACGCGGGCAGACTGTAGCGCCGCTATCACCATCCGTGCATGCCGAGGATTGATGGGATATAGAGCCATTGCTTTCCCGATTGATGTCGGCAAACCCGTCGTTCGATCCAGAGCTGATAATGCTGTCAGACATTTTTCTGCCTCTAACAATGCTTCCTTCTCAGGTGGCGTGGGGAAAGGAAAGTTCATTACCTGGAACACAACGAGAACCTCAGTGAGAGGAACAGCAAAATGAAGAAAATGATACCTTGTCGATGCCCATGCACTTCAACACAAGTACTACCCCCTCGATTGGAACCAAACTGATCTCTGGAGGAGCGAAGTCCGGAAAGTTGTGGTGGTAGTGCGTCTTAGAATAGAGCTGATAACAATGTCCCGGACCAGTTCGACCAGCTCTTCCAGCACGTTGGTCCGCTGACGCCTTGCTGATCCAGCCGACTTCAAACCTGGACACTCCGCTGGAGCCATCGAACTTCCTCTCTTTTGCACGACCACAGTCGACCACGTAACGTATGCCAGGTATGGTGATAGATGTCTCGGCTACATTTGTGGCGACAACAATGAGCCTTTTCCCTTCTGGAACGGCAGCAAAAACTCGTAGCTGTGCCGCAGCTGGAAGCATAGCATAAAGCGGAAGGACGAGCGCTGGACCCGGTTTTCTGACGTGATCCATGTTGCTGGTTTCATTACCTGGCGTTTTATCTGTGTCTTCGACGTCTGACACGCCACTGCTGCTGCTATCATTTTCGCCTGTAAATCCGTCAACATCTTCTTCCCAGTCCGAAGAATCATCATCCTCTTCATCAACAGCGTCTGCCACTGATCTCATGTCCAAAGCTCCACATTCAGTCCCTGACAAAAGCGCTGAATCCTCTCGTTTAGCAACTGGCTTCCCATCTGAAGACTCTAGCTTGCTTGAAGGTGTAAACGACAGTCTCAGCCTCTTGCACAGAGCTTCCACTTCACGCCGGCCAGTGACAAAAACTAATATCCCGCCCGGCGGGAGCTTCCTGTGGATGGCACAGACTTTCCGATATGCTGCACTTTCGTAATCCTGAAGCTCCGTCTTCCTACTGGAATGAACCGTGACGGGGAACTGTCTCGCTGTTACGTGAATCACCGGCGGTGGAAGAGGAAACATCTTTTGGTTTGCCGTGAAGTCCTCAACCCGAAGAGTTGCACTCATTATGATCAGTTTCAGAGGGGTGACGGCCTCGGACCTTTTGTTTTGAAAATACAGCCTCTAGAAATTTTTAGAAGATTAATAGAATCAGCATCTAGGGAATATAGAAACTTACATTTCGCAGAGGTAGAACTCTAGATAGCATTCCAACGAGAATGTCGGTGTTGACACTTCTTTCGTGTGCTTCGTCCAGCACAATCACGGAGTACTTTGTCAACAAAAAATCTGACTAAAAGATGTTTGAGTCGCTTCGTAAAAGCCATGCTTTACCTGGATTTCTCTGAGAAGAATACCATCCGTCATAAACTTGATAGAGCTTTTCTCTCCAATTTTCCTGTCATGCCTAACTTGAAATCCAACTTCTTTGCCTAGTTGGAGGTTGAGCTCGTGTGCCACGCGCTTCGCTGTTGTCAGGACCGCAATTCGCCTGGGCTGTGTGATCCCGATGATGCCACAGCGATCCTTGTACAATGGAGAGCCATAACCAGCTTCGTACAAAAACTGACACACGAAACACAATTAATCTCCACTCACACAAAAAACTAGAGATAGTGAAATACCTGAGGTACTTGAGTTGTTTTACCGCACCCAGTCTCTCCACAAATAATCACAACGTCGTTCTCCTGCACTGCCTCCATAACCTCTTGCTCCATCATGATAATGGGCAATTCACGTCTACTCTTGTCCACCTCTTCGGATCTCCAGACGTTGACAACAAATTTTCGCGTGTTGCTCGCAGCTGCTGATGCCACTGCAGCGAGTGACAAGGAAATATCAGTCCCTTCAGCGTTGGCACAACTTTCCTTGATGGCTTGGCTATTTCCTCCGTCCTGGATTACGGACTGGCAAAAGTCGGTTCTTTTGGTCTTATTGTGGACTTTCTCCGTTTTTGCTGTGACGGACGGCCCCGGCTCAACCACTGAATCGTCCTTGGAAACAATCCTCTCTCGAAACAGAGGAATCTCGGGAGGAACGTCCAATCCAGCGGCCCTCAGCTGCATTCCCCGTCGAAGCTTCTCCCGCATTGTCTCCGCCTATTGAACGTCATAGCGCTGAGAAAAAATGAAAAGCAAGAACAAAACAGGTAAACCTTGCCTAGCGCACTCGACGAGGACATAAGTGCTTGGACATTATCCGAGAGCTTGTACTTCCTAGAAAACGAAAGCCATCAAGCTACGAGAAATTGTCAATGTAAAGGTATAACTTACTCCAACGTCTCGAATGCCTGTTCTCGCAGTTCTCTCTTCTCCTTCTCTTCCTAGGGAGCACAAACTTCGTGAAGAGATGCCAAAAACTAGAATTTCTTCCATGCAAACCTGGAGCTTCTTGAGCTTCCGCTGCATGCTCTTGCTGATCCTCCCCGCGTCAGGCTTGCTCTAAGAAATCCCACCATTAAAACCATTAGATAGCTCCACGATATCGAGATCCCATACCGGCAGCACAGATTCCTTGTTTTTCTTGCGCTTTGCAGGCATTTCGATGGCGTTGCTGTCGGCGCCGGCCCCAGCGCCATCGCCACTCCTCCCGCGCTTCTTCTTCATCCAAATGCCCTACTACGAAAGCCCTAATCTCCATAGAGAAAAGATTCGATTTTTGTCCTCTTTTTGTTGTCTGGATCCAAGTTTAAGCTCTAATAAGAAGCGAATGGTCCACAGAAAAGGAGAAAAGAAAATGGCCTTTATCTCGCAAGAACTCGAAGCTGTTACCTTTACGGTACTAGAACATCTTTGTTTCTCTTTCTTGCCTGTCCTTCTTTCCAGTTCTAGATAGGTACTGCGCTCTTAGATTAATCACTCGCTCCCTCACTCGCGATTTCATTCTGCGAATCCGAGTCCTATGGAATGGATGTCCGACGAGCTCCTCGACTCCATCTTCTCGTTCATCGATCACCCCATGGACCGGCGAGCGCTCTCCGAGGTTTGCAAGCGCTGGTACCTTGCAGACGCCAGGACTCGCAAGAGCATCACTGTTGGCTTCTCCTACGCCATCGAGCCATCCAACTTGAGCCGAAGGTTCCGCAACATCCAGGCTCTCAAAATCAAAGGCAAGCCTCGAGTGTCCGAGTTTGGGATGGTTGTCAAGGACTGGGGTGCCTACTGCGAGCCGTGGATCCAAGAGCTCGTCAGCCAAAGGCATCCCAGCAGCGCTACAGCATTCGCCTCTCTAACGTCTCTCCACTTTCGACGCATGGAAGTCTCGGACACGGCCTTGAGATTGCTCGCTCGGGGCTTCGGCTCCTCGCTCCAAGTTCTCAGGCTGGACAAGTGCTCCGGGTTCTCCACCGCGGGATTGGAAGCCGTGGCTCGAGAGTGCAAGTAAGTTCTTCTCTTATCTTGTCGGTGTTCTTTATTTTACCTTTATCACTAGATCCCTGCGAGTTCTTTATCTGGAAGAGAGCGTGATCGAGGACGATGGAAGCCAGTGGCTCCACGAGCTGGCAGTGAGCAACAGCGCCCTGGAAGTCCTCAACTTCTTCCTCACTGGCTTGGATCTTTCGAATCTCTCCGACCTGGCGCACATTATCGCGAACTGTAAGTCGCTGACATCCCTGAAACTTGGCGAGATCAGTAGGGGCGTGGTGGACCTCCCGGCGGACATCTTCATCGCGGCCAAGTCGCTCAAGGAACTGGCCGTGATCTTCGCTCGCAACAACATCAGTGTCAACTTGCCCAAGACCCTCACTTCTTTCGCCGGTGACCTCTTGTTCCCGCTGGATCCACTCGTGTGCTCAAATTTTCGCGAGCTGGATCTCATGTCCACCACTCTCACCGCCGAGGAGCATATGCAAGTGATCCAGTGCTGTCCAAATCTCGAAGTCTTGAAGGTAGAAAATCCTCTCCTTGTCGTAAAAAAGTACTTTATTTTTGTGTTTTTCTTTTAAGTACGTTTGACTGGGCTCCCCGAGCTTTGGTTTTTATCTCCTTATCCTGTGTTCGTGGTTCTTGAACTTTCCAAAGTTTTCCCCAGTCCCTGTCGTAAAAAAGTTTCTCTTTACCGGGAATGTGTTCTTAGTTCTTGAACTCCTCTATTTTCTCAAAGTTGTTTCCCAAAAGTTCGTAGTCAATCTTCTCAGAGCTTGATGTGTTTGTTCACCGTGGACCAGGTCCGGAACATAATCGGCGATGCCGGCGTCGCCACGCTCGCCAGCCTCTGCCCAAAGCTCCGCCGCATCCGCATTGAGAATCTCGAGGACGCGTACGGCTTCTGCTCTTACAAGGGCCTCATTACCCTCGCCTCGCGCTGCGTCAACCTCCAACACGTAGCCATTTACGTCTCCGACATCGCAAACTCGGCCCTCCGAGCTTTCGGCACGCACTGCCCACACATGCTCGACTTCCGAATCGTCCTCCTGGAATCCACCTTGCCCGTCACGGAGCTGCCGCTTGACTCCGGCGTCCGGGCACTGCTCCAAGGCTGCCGCAAGATCACCCGCCTCGCCATCTATCTCCGCAATGGCGGCCTCACCGACGCTGGCCTGGCCGCAATTGGAAGCCTCGGCGAGCACTTGACGTGGCTGCTGCTGGGCTGCGTGGGGACCTCCGATCGGGGCCTCATTGATCTCGCTTCCGGCTGCCGGAGCTTGCAGAAGCTGGAGCTCCGCGATTGCCCCTTCACTGAGGGCGGGATTGCGGTCAGCGTCCGCCTCCTCGCGTCGCTGCGCTTCTTGTGGATCCAAAAGTACCGCGAGTCCAATCCCTATGATCTCCTCCAGATGGGTGACTGGGTGGTAGAGTACATCGTACCCAGTAGCGACACTACACCATCACAGGTGGTGGCGTATCGATCCACTGTGGGGCACCGCAGCGATTTCCCTGAGGAGGTGATCCCTCTCAGCCAGATTGCCTGGGCATTTGGCGGGGGATTTCATATTTGAAACTACTTCAACAAAGACAAAAGTAGGATGAAGTCCAGCGTTGCGAGGGTACTGACGCCTCATGGAAGCGCGAGTTGCAAAAAGTAATGTTTTTTTCTCTACGATGCATTTGCAGCAGCCAAAATCGGCTCGCGGCGGAAATCTTGCAGCAGCTCCAGAGATGGTCAGAATCCTCTAGTCATATATGTAGGACAGATTGGGTTTCTGGGACAAGAGTCTATGAAATAGTTCCTTTCTTAATAATTGCAATCCAAGGGAATAATAAAGACAGAAGTGGAAGACAGATAGATATCAACATGGGACCATACTAAAGTTTATTAATCCATAGCTCGAGAATGCAGGGCTTTATAACAATAAAATTGAGTTCTCAATTTGAGATTTAAGTAGAGACGTTTAGTTTTTATTTCCAGAAAAAATGAACTAAATAAGTAAAAAAAAATTAATTTATGAAAACCTTGCATTTTGTCAACAGTAAAAAAAAGCTTACCTTGTAACAAAAACTCTTTCTCTAGAGACCACATAAGTTCTTCTCTAGCCTGCACAATTATCTAGAAAAACATCAACTCTCATGTCTGATCAAATAGATGATGATCTCGATGTACACAAGCTGCGAAATGGTCATCTGAAAAGAAAGCCAAATGGAGCCTACAGCACATCGCAGACATGGATCACTCCATTGTTATCAGTTGAAGACAAAAAAAAAAAAAGAAAAAAGCTTTTAAGACAGAAATAAAAAGCTTTTAAGACCAAATGCAAGCTAGCTAGACTCTAGTTGAGAGCAAATTCTTCCATCTCATGACTAAAAAAGACTTGAAGGTGTATAACACAAGTTTTGAAGATACATTGTTGCTTTAGGCATTGTCAAAAGAAAGTTCTTGTATGAGGCTCTTGACATCTTAAATTTGGATGAAACAAACAGCTACTTAAGAGCACCTCTTAAGTCATGCCTTCATCTAAAGACTGTACCATTGTAGTATAAGGCCTGCTCGTTTCCCTCCTGGCAATGAGCATGAAAAAGCTAAAAAGAGAACAAAGAGCTTTGAAGCATAAGATGAGATCTCCCAGAGGAACTACCATGCACTCCATAGCATCAGATGGCACAGAGTGTTGATGTCTTCACATCCACCTATGCATCTTCCTCAAATCCAAACCAAACATGGACCTCTTAAGAGTAGTACAAACTAAATGTGGTGTAAAAGATACATATACATTTTACTAAGCACCATCATAGGAAAATTTAGCTTTAAATTTATTGCACACATTATTTCTCTCACTTAATTGTTTGATCAGAAAGTTAGCTATTCTATCCTTATTTATCCTCTATTGTTCCCAAGATCTGAAGGTGACCATACATTTTTTGTGAGATCCATACGTGTTAAAAGGGGGATGAAAAAGTTAAGCCTAGAAACTAAAGAGTAACATTTGAACTTCTAAGATATGTTAAGAATTATTGTTCTAACTCACCAAAAAATCCCACCTATTGCACTATTCATAACAATGAGCTAAAACTTAAAGATAACTATATAAATTCATATACCATCAATTAAAGTTGCCACTATCATACCACTTTCATGAGGAGACCATTTAATGGAAGTTAAAGTGGTGGAATAGATTGCTCCCTGTATGTGACCATCTTACAAAACTTGAGATATGAGGAATAAATATTGAAGTATAAAAGCACACCTAAAAACAAAAGAGCTCTTCTTATATTTTCAATTAGCTCAGCTTCAAGTTTTTCCCAATATTGTCACTACCTCCTATATATAAGCTAGAATATGTATATTTTTGCATTCCATTTGTGTTTTGGTTTAAATCCAGTTTTTGTATTTCTATTATTTTTGTTGTTTTTTCCATTTCTTCTATTTTTTTTTCTTATTTTTGTTCATTTTTATAGCAAAGGAGTAGCCCCCTCATCCTTTGACTTAATAGTAATAAATTGTGTGCTATATAGTATCAAACTTAGTTGATGGCGGCATTTATAGCACTTGGTGCAATTCCTTCTCAATCCTCATGTCAAATTAAAGTTCTTATGTGGGAATCCACACACTAAACTATGTTGTAAACAACTAATAAGAACAACTTAAAAGACAATTTATAAAGGTTTAAATAGAAAGGGAAAAATCTTATAAACAAGAGTGCACCTTATTTTCCAACCGATTAAAGGTTTTGGGATATTTGAAGTTAAACATCCTTGAGTTTGAATAATACTAGGCTAGATGACCTTTTGGGAAGTTTAAATTCCAAAGGGATAGGGTGTCAAGAAAGCAAAGCTCTAGAAGAACTATAGCTTTTAACTTTTGTTTATAAAGGTGTAAATTTGTAAGGAAGTATAGTAAATTGTAAGCAATTAAATGGAATTATATGAGAGATGATATAGTGCACCCCCTTTTCTAATTAATTAAAAGTCATGGGATACTTAAGGTTAATGTTGGTTTTGATGGACACATGGCATGTGACATATGGCATATAACACGTGGCACATGAAGGGTTAGGTTTCTCTTCATGGATTGAATAAAGGGCCATGGAGTAACTCTCAAGCATATACCCCAAGGGGCAAAGGGATAGGAGCCCAGAGCAGCTTAAAACAGTCTTAGAGCAACCAGCATCCCAATATTAAGACCAACATGTAAAATGGAGCCAAACGGAGTCGGCGCTATTTTGGTATACCGGCGGCCTAACGCAAGGATATGGGTACTCCAATAGCTAGCATAGAATGGAACTTAGGCTTAGACCCAAGCCGGACGCAAAACAAGGATAGGCATGCAAGTGGGAGCTAAATTATGCCTTAGGTTGATTGGCCATGCTCAATCTACCCACTATCCTTATTATACATTTGGAACACATGCTTTGGGCTTTTACCCCAAGCCTCCCTTAGTATTAAGAGTTAGTCTCTAGGACAAGCTCAAAACTTACTAAATATGGAATGTCCTTAGATTGCAAATTTGGATATGGGACGAACACCATTGTGTTCAAGACAATCTTTACATTCCATAGATATGAATCTAGATACTTTCTATAAATAGCATTTGGGACCACAATGAGACTAACACAAAAAGCATGATAGCGAGGGTGTTTGGTAGACACGGTAAGCTATCATCCAGTGATATTGAGGGTTCTTGTCAAGCTAGTGCAAGACAGAGCAAAAGAGAATTAAAAAGCCGGGCCAAGTATGCTTGGCAAAATAGACACTTAGGAATTCTGTCCTTATGCTCATTCGGCCAAGTATAGATGCAAAATCCAGTTTACTAACACTTGAACAAATGGGGCTAATAAAGGGTTTAACAATACCGACTTCTGCCATTGTGGCAGTAAGGAAAGAGTGTCTGTATGGACTGGCCAACAAGTAACTTTCAATACCTGAAATCACATTCGTAACACTCTCCCCCCTAGGGAAAATTGACGTTCTCATCAATGCATACTCAAGTCTAGACCACTGCTAAAGAAATAACTCCAGAAAAAGTTTATGGTGATCACACTATGTGAGAAATGCATCAACTTAAATGAGTTAGGAGGCAACCTCTTTGTCTAACACAGATGTGCTACTAGCTCAGACACCTTTTGGCCGTCACCGACAAAGAAATGACCAATGGAGTTAGCCACCCTTGCTGTGTTAGAGGAAGGAGGGGCACCTCCCCCAATGCTCACTCAAACACAAAAAATGCTTCAATACTCTTCGCAAAAATGCCCCCCTTTGCCCTTGTGAGGCAAGGGTTTTATACAAGGAAGATAGGGAATATTCTAAGAATCAGAATATTCCCTCTCTCTCTCTCGCTCTCTCAATGGCCACACCTTGACATGCGACCATGGTGGATCGTGCTGGCTCTAGACGCTCGAGAACCCTCTGAAAAGTGTAGAGTGTACCTCTACTACTAATACCAAGTGTTTGTAGCTGCATGAAATAATAGAAACTCTAGAAAAAAAAGTAAAAAAGAAAGAAAAGAGGTAGGTATGAAGTTTGGAGATAGGGAGGAAAACCCGGTGGGATACCCTGTAGTCAAACTGGACCCTGAAGTTGAAGAAAAAATGCAAAAAACATGTGAAAAGAGGAGGAAAATAGAGGAAAAAAAGTGTGAGTACCCAAAGAACTTAACCCGTACTTAGCTTTTGGCTCAAGAAAGTGTAATATGCAATTGCAACCTCTTGATGGCTTCCAGTATGCTCCAAGGATTGGCTGAAATCAAGAAAGAAAGAGAGGTAGAAGAGGATGCATTGCCCAAGGGTGGTAAGTGTAGAAATGATGAAAAGATGGAGTGATATGGTGGAGCGCCGAGATGGTGGTGGCACTCTGAAAAGGTGGCTATCTATAATCATTGGCTCATAAAGTAGGTGCTGACCTCTTGGAGTAGCCGGTAACCAGTGACTAGTAACTAGTAACCAATAACTAGGGACTTGTAACTTATAACCGGTAACCACCTGCTGTCGCTCCTACTCCTGCATCTAGGGAATGTGCGGGGTATAGTAACAGTAAGGGAAGGGCCAAAGAACCTGGAACATAGACCGAGCCAAGCAAGGAACTTCCATACAAACGGCAATGTAGCCTGAGCATGAAATCCAAGGCATGGGCCATGGTCCAATGGAGAAACACCCTCTAAAAGTAGGAAAAGGAGCCATGAAAGTAAAGTGAAAGAAAAGAAGAAAAAGAAAAAGAAAAAGAAGAGAAGAGGAACACCTCACCAGATGAAACATTTGAGATGAGAGTGGTTGTGAGCATGTGGGAGCTCATATCTATCAACATCAATTAGCACATATGCTCCACCTCCGATGTGTCACTGGATAAAGTAGGGGCTGGTCCAGCGAGGGGAGAACTTCGAAGGTGGCATAAACTCCTTGAGTAGAACAAGATTGCCATCCTCGAATGGTTCAGCAGACCGCTATTGATTAATGACGAACTTAATCTTTTGCTTGCTTTGAAGGAGATGTTCAATTGTGGATCATTGCTGTTCTTCCAAGGCAAGAACCTCCAAGTCACGTGCATAAAGCTTGTCCTCATTGCTAAGTTGCATTGTTGCTGCGTATCAAAGTGAAAGTGAGAGCGATGGCATCTGGATCTCCACTAGAAGCACAGCCTCTATCCCATAGACAAGGGAGAATGGGGTTGCGGAGATGGATGTCTTAAAGGACATCTGAAAGGCCCACAACGCCGTAACCAAGTGCTTGTGCCAATGCCTCAAATCCATCACACGCTTCCACCGCATGTGAAAAGTTGGTTGGAACTCTTGGATGGTCACAATCCAAGATAAAGTATGAGGACTATGAACCATTCACTGTAAAAGAAAGGTCAGCACATTAAAATAGGCATGGAAATGGATACGGGCTCTAAC